GGAGATTTCACTGAATCTCATGAGATTTCTTTTGATCCAATCCTCCAGTTTGTCTAGGTCTCTCTGAATCCTAGCCCTCCCCCCTCCAGTGTATCTACGCTAACAAATAAATCCTTTGTAGAAAAATAAGAGAAACATCACACATTAGACTCAGGTAAGCGAGTGTTCAGAAGTTGCACAACAGTCTGGACAGAACCTGCATCATTTGGAAGAGTCTTTATTTAAGGTCAGATCAGTGCAGTATCTGCGTACTGAGTATCATTGCGGGTCACACAATACATACGAGAAGAACATGGTTCTTTTTCTGTTCGACAAAAAATTATCGTACCTAGAGAATAGTTTCTCATGCTGAAAAACATAATTGCACTAAAGCAGAGACTATTATTTTCAGAGAAAACAGCAATTCTTTAGCGGTTTAATACAGGAAAACTAGAGACTAACCTTGCTAAATTTTGCACTTCTGTCAGCTTCCCATGCAGCACACCACACACGGGCATCGTACACGACTCAGCCGTAGCTTTTAAATATCAGACTACAGTAGCACCCCTCCTCCTTCCCCCACCCAAATCCGCTGAAGATATGTAAGATAGCAGGACCTGGCTGCTATCGGGATAAAGAGGCCATGTTAACAATTACCCTTAAAAACAGAGAAAGTCTTTTAAGCCATATCAGCCCTGTAAGAGTTGTGCTAATTGGAAAAGCTGAAGGTGAACTTGAAATGTTTGGTTCTTCATGCAAGACACCAGGGTCAGGTCCATATGGTGCAAGCCAGGACCATGCTGAGATGTCGTGCCCACTCCACCTGCATCAGGTCCCAAACCAGAAGTAGTTTAGCTGAGATGCAGAGCCTACAGACAGGCACCTTTGGGTTGGGAGTCAACAAGGAGCAGACGTAGCGGGTCTCAGCCTGGGGGCAATATGTCTCAATGTGCTCCTCCCTTGCAGCATATGGACATGCCACCTGGGTCTAAATACCTATCTACCTACCTATCTACCCACCCCAACAATCATGTTGTGACGAAACGCCCCTTGAAGCCAATGAGAAAATGCCAAAGAGCGTTGAATCAGGACTTGATTTTGAATGCATCACTGCATAAGAGCAGTTTTCAAGCACCTTTAAAAGCTACATGCTGCTGGCAGGTCGTTGTTCTGCTCTAATGAGCCTTCTCCATCCAGTCTAGCAGGCTATCCAGCTCTCCTAGGGATTTCATTGCTGCATTTTTGACATTCAGCTGGAAGTGGATTGAAAACAAAAACAAAAAACAAAAAAAATCAGTTGCGTAACTTCAGCAATTTGCAATGAGCAAAAGAGTACCTGACTCCGCATGAATTAATATGTTGAATGATAGTCCCATCAATTTACCTGGCCGTAGTTGGTAAGAATTTGTTTATATTTCTGTGTTGCTTCCTCTCCGCATCTGCACATACTTTGTTGATGCTGGGAAGAAAAAAAAAAAAAGAATTTATTAATAGGGTGCGGTTTGTCTGGTTTTTTTTTTTTATAAGCTGTGGCTTTCTGATTGACAGAGATAATTTCATAGGCAAGGGCCTTGCTAAAGAGTGCAAAAGGCTGCATGGAGTTCAATCACATTTCCCCAAAGGGTGAAATTCAATCCGCAGAGAGGAGCAGCACATGGTTGCACTTCAGCACTATTTGGAGGGCTCACATGGGAGTTTAGTAGTGCCCAGGAAAATCTGAAGCCAAATACAGATGAACCCCACTTTTCATGGCACTCTCATGCTTCTGCTTGTGTTTCCTCTTGATACCCACAGTGATGTTAACTCTCATGCCCTCCCCACTCCCTTTTTTTTGAACTTCAAAAAAAAAAAAAAAAAAAAAAA